CCGGGGCAGGACACTGGTACCGCTAAGCAAAGGGTCTCCTCGGGTTTCTGCCAGATGTGCCTTTACGTACCTGTAACTCTGAGCATCCCTGTTATGGTGCCACATGCTGCCCGGCTACCAGGCGTTTGTGGAGTTGGTTCCAAAGGAAATGGATCTTAGCCAGTGCCAGCGTGGAACTTGCCTTGTGTAGCTCATGTGAGCAATTTTTCTGAGTGCTGAGATGCTAATTTGTGCTGAACTGATTGTATTTTTTTTTAATGGATGTTCTTTGTGGTTAAATAAAAAAAGCTCTAGCTCCTTCACAATGCTTTTTTCCGTGCTTGGTACAAATCATTAACTTTTTGCAGGCCAAAGGAATTTTGCTTTTCTAGTTACTTGTTCATTTATTTCCCTTCCATGTAATACGCAGTCTATCTTACTTGTGCGCTAGGTTAAAATGTTGCTTTATGTGGGACTTTTTTCAAAGGGGTTACAGCAAAAAGTCTTCGATCCAAAAGAATCTACTATCTGTGGCTTTTATACACAAGAGGAAAAAAAGAGGAAAACATACTATTTTAAACACATCAGGACAGGTTTTAAGCCACCTGACTCTTCATAAAAGATTTTTGTTCTATGTTCAGAAGTTGAATCAGTTGCTTAAGGGATTTTGATCAGAGGAGGATGAGTAATAGTTTTGATACTTAGAAAAATAACAGTTTGAGATGTCAGGGTGGGCTTGTGAAGGGTTCTGTCACTGTTGGTAATGAAGTTACTTGGTGGAGAGCATTTCAAATGGATGTGTTTACAGTTTCTTCAATTGTTAAATTGAACAATATAACAATTGTTCAATTGTTAAATAATGTTCCCTGATGTTATTATTGAATGTGGTAATTTTTTTGTTTATTTTAGAACATAATAAAGAAAAAATACCAATTGCTGTACATCATCTTATGGATGGCCTTGGCCATGACTGGAGATATCAGTGTTCTTTTACTGCTTTAGTAGTAGACTCAGCAATCTGCAAGAAGTTAAATGAGCAGATCATGAAACCTGATGGTGTTCCTGAGGAAATATTGAGAATATAAATAGTTGAAAACCAGAAAAATTGTGTTAATTGTGATGTGGGTTAATGCTGGTAGGCAGCTAAGCACTACATAGCTGCTTGCTCACTTTCCTCCCACCCCCTCAAGAGATGGCGAAAAAAGAAAGGAAGAGTAAAAGCAAGAAAACTTATGAGTGGAGATTAAAATTGTGTGGAAGTGGAGGAAAAGTGGAAAAAGAGGCAGAAGACAAAACAAGTGATGCAAAGGCAGTCATTGCTCCTGCAGGTAGACCTGTACGTTCTTTAATGGTGGAATGCTATAAACATGGACTGTCATTGTGTCCAATCTCAACAGTTTTATGTAATTGCTTTCATAAACTTCAACTTAAAAATGGTTCACTTGTTCCTTCTTTGTCTTTTAGGCTGCTTTAGAATATAGATAGTCTGGAGGTGAAAAGGTAACTTCTAGTAAAGTTTATCCATGATCAATTTGTGCGCGTTTGCTCTCATGCTACTGTCCTTAATATTAGAATTCTTTTTTCTCCTTAGTGGCAATCCTCATGATACTTTTATTGAAACTGTGATACTTTGATTGAAAGCAAGTTTGTTTTCATCAGAGTTTTGTTAGGCTAGACAAGTTATGCTTTCATCTTATTTCTCTTCATAAGATGAGCTCTCTGTTCCTCCATCCAGATAACCAGTTTTTGCAATTCTTTGGATCTGTCTTTGAGGGTGATCAGAACTGTGCCTGGTACTGTGCATGAAGGCTCACTGGTGCCTCACATTGGTACTTTTTTGGTTTTTACTGGAAAGAGCCCACTTTTTAATTTATTTTTTTTATGGGTGCCTCATTTGGGGATTAGCTAACAGTCCACAAAGGTAAAGTTTCTACTTCTTGATTTTGATTTTCAATTAGAGAGCTCTGAATTTAAACACAAATAATTATAGTCCTTAAATTCCCGTTATAGTCCCCAAGCTATTCTTTCAGAACTTTAATAGGAATCTTGTTCCAACCTGATAGTAGGTTGTACTGAAAAAGGAAACATAAACACATTGTAAGCTTTATACTAATCCTTAATTTTTCACCTAAGCTTACCATTTCTTACAGTGTATGATAAATTACCAATGTCCATGAAGATTATATTTACTACATTTATTGCATGATCCAGCTTTTGTATACTAGCACACATTCCATTCAAAAACATGCAGGAAAAACACTTTTCATGTATGTGTGATAAGAAGTATTTTTGAGCTGGGAAGAACAAACAGAATGTCATTCCTGACTGCTTGTTGAACTAGATGCTGACCTACACTGAATCTTGGGACAACTGACTCACCAGTGTGTTTATTTTGAGGCTAAAAAGAAGAAAAACAAAAAAAAAAAAATCAACCCAGCCTCAAACATCATACTGTCTGCTGAGAAAACAGTTATTTGTCTCTCAATCTAGTAAGCTGCTGAATTCCTTCTCCAGGCTTCAGTTAGCCAATTTTGTTTTCTATTGCATGTGGCAATGGCTGCATGTGGTTAATCTTAAAGGGACTGCCATACCATAGACCTCATCAGATAACCAGTCTAATTCTGAGACTGGCTTCTTTATCTTGTTTCTATCTTTATGGTCTTTTTCCTTAGAAGTGTGTAAGAAACAGTGAATATAAGAATGAGAGCCTAGCTTCTTCCAGTTCAAGACTTGTAAGCAATCACAGGTAGTTTTCAGCAAAGCTTCCCATATAGTGGACCAGTTCAGTATATTTTCCTGTGAAAACCACAGTGCTTCAGTACTAACCTGGTCTCCTTCTATGGCAAGATGATGGATGAGAGAAAGGCTGTGGTTGTTGTCTACTTGGACTCTAGTAAAGCCTTTGACACCATTTCCCACAGCGTTCTTCTTGGAGAAACTGGTTGTTCATGGCTTGGATGGGTGTACTTTTCACTGGGTAAAAAGCTGACTGGATGGCTGGGCCCAGCAAGTGGTGAAGGAAGTTAAGTCTCATTGGGGGCCAGTTCTGTTTAATATCTTTATCAGTGATTGAGATGAGGAGATCAAGTACACCCTCAGTCACTTTTTAGGCATGAAACTGAATGGGAGCATAGATATGCTTGAGGGTAAGAAAGCTCTACAGAGAGACCTGGACAGGCTGGATCAATGGGCTGAGGCCAATTGTATGAAATTCAGCAAGGCCAAGTGCCGGGTTCTACCCTTGTGTGACAGCAATCCCACGTGACACTACAGGCTTGGGGAAGAGGGGGTGGAAAAGGACCTAGGGATGCTGGTCAACAGCTGGCTGGACGTGAGACAGGATTGTGTCCAGGTGGCCACGAAGGTCAGCTGCATCTGGCCTGTATCAGAAACAGGGTGGCCAGCAGGAGTAGGGAGGTGATTGTGCCCCTGTACTCGGCACTAGTGAGGCTACAGCTTGAATCCTGTGTTCTCTTTTGGGCCCCTCACTACAAGATAGTGAGGTGCTGGAGTGGGTCCCAGAAAAGGGCAACAAAGCTGATGAAGGGTCTGGAGAATAAGTGTTGTGAGGAGCAGCTGAGGGCACTGAGGTTGTTTCATCTGAAGAAGAGGCGGCTGAGGGTAGGCCTTACTGTTCTCTACAACTACCTGAAAGGAGCTTCTGGTGAGGTGGGTGTTGGTCTGTTCTCCCATGTAACAGCGATGGGACAAGAGGAAATGGCCTTGGGTTGCACCAGGGAGGTTTAGATTGGACATTATGGAAAAGTTCTTCACTGAAAGGGTTGTCAGGCATTGGGACAGGCTGCCCGGGGAAATGGTGGAGTCGCTATCCCTGGAGATGTTGAGAAGATGTGTAGATGTGATCTTGCTGCAAGGATGGCAGAATAATTTTTACTGCCTTAGGAGTTGTAAATCAGTCTCTTAAAGAATACTGCTTCAAGCATGGGAAGAGCCAATGAAGTTTTCTAGCCGGTTAGTAGAAAAGATAATAAGATAGTGTGCACCTGGAGATGGCAAGTAGACTGTGTTTTAGAAGGTTTTAACGAGCTGTTTGTCCTTGGAGGTGTATGGAACCAGACCTAAGTGAGGCTTTTCAAGTCCTAACCCTCCTTATGGAGGTTAGAGGGTATCAAAACATCAAAAAGTGTTTATGAAAGGCTGTGAGCCAAAATTAAATGTGGCAGTGGGAGATGGTCACCACCACCTTAATTCAGAGTGCTGAAAACTCACCCCCCACACACACACCCACAAGGAGCATGTGTGCTGATTTGCATGAGAGGCAAAACTGACAGCCAATGATGAATGTAGCTGTTATCACTAACCAGTAATTCTACAATTAGTGGCAAGTTAGACATGTTTATATTAGTAAGTTACAAAATAAATATGTTGCAGTTTTTCCATGTGGTAGGCTAGTTTCATCTAGCATCCAAATTTGGCCAACTTTGCTAATAAACCAAATGTTGGCTTTCTGAACTATCATTTGGTTTAGAGAGTTACTTCTCTAAAGTTCCTGCTTTTGACAACAGTGATGCTTAAGGAAATGGTTTAGTGGTGGACCAGACATCACTAGGTTAACAGTGTAACTTGATGATCTTAAAGGTTTTTTTGGACTGAAAGGATTCTGTGATAATACCTTTTACTTCCATTGTGTTTTGATCATGGGGGATCACTTCTCTCCCAAGCAGTCCCTCCTGTAAGTGCTGGCAAAGGGCTAGTTTGAACTGTTGTAAAACTGAAGCTGATTTTCCCTTGCTGGTGTTTTCAGATTGGTTGGTTTGTTTTGTAGAGTGTAGGGATACTACTTCTCACGTGAAGCAAAAGTGCTTTCATGAAGTTTTGTTGTCCTCTGATATTAATTAATGTTAACTTTGGACATCTGAAAAGATAAAATTTGTGGATAAAAACAATCTAACAAAACTCTTAAGCTCTTATATCTTCCAGGTAAGTGTCACATTTGCATAGTGTTGTTGGAAGGATGTACGTTATGTCATATCTGACTTGAGTGTTTCTTTCAGCTTTCAGACAGAGGACACACAGAAAGAGAGAAGCAGAAAGAAGTTGACAGTAGCACCGAATGCAGCGAACTAGGAAGCATGGATCTGAAATTTGCTTCATCAAGAAAATACATTTCCATCAGTGTACCTTCCAAATCTCAAACTATGTCTCCTCATATCAAATCAGTAGATGATGTTATAGTTCTTGGCATGAATCTCAGCAAATTTAACAAACCTACTCAATTTTTCATCTGTGTTTCTGGAGTTTTTATGTTTTATCTAATCTATGGATATTTACAGGTAAATAATATGAACCTATGTCTAAGGCCTTTTCTTTAGAAATAGCATAATAATATAGTATGTATTTTAATATGTATAAACATTTATAATAGGTATTGATTGCAAAATCAACTTTCAGAATTCAAAAACAGTAAGTAATTGCATGATGCAAGATTCCGTGTACCTACAAGGTTTGGTTCAGTTGGACTTGGTATTTTACTTCTGTGTGCAAGGTAGACCTTTCAATGTTGTTTTCAATGTGGTTTTAAAAGTGATTTCATAGTCTTCTGAAACCAAACAAATTGTAGAGCCATGCAGAGTGGCATGTAAGTCCTCACTGGTGTTGAAACCTTTAGATCTTGGGTTGTGCTGTACAGTAACGTTAGTTTGTTCTCTCTGCTCTTCCTTCAGGAGAGAGCTGGAACGTGCTATGATTGGTTGTTAAGCAGAGGCATAATGTTTATGCTGTTTTAGTTAAACATTTATCTTCCTGCCAACCTGTTCTCTTTTATCTCAAGGAGCTATATTTCTGTTACTTTTTAAAAAAGTTTTTAAGTTCAGTGAGTCTTATCAATAAAGCAGTGATTTAAACAGTTGATTAATTAAAAGTCACTGTGTTTCCAGTGCAGTTTTCAAGCACAGCTGAGAAGATTATAAAAGTAAAGTTATTTCTAAAGAGTTAAACAAAATTATCAGTAATTGAAGGCAGAATCTCAAAAAGGTTAATATTATCTAGTCTTTCGTTTCTATAACAGACACATTCTTTATGTGGTGCATCTATTTTTTCATAATAGATGGCTCAGGTTTTAAATGTTCCTACAGCCTGCAAATTTATAAGCTGATAAGTTCTCTTTACAATAGACACTCAAAGTATTAGGTGTCTGTTCCTAAGAGATGAAAATTACCAGTAAATATGTCTCTTAGAGAAAGTTTATATTTAGTTTATTGTGAGCTATTTGGAAATTCTGGATAAAAACTGTCTCATGAAGTAAATGAAATAAAAACCAGCTGAAAAGCAGGCAGGAAATCATCCATAATTTGAGATAAATATTAATAGAGCAAAAGTATTCCCCTGCTGAATTTCAATGGATTTACACGAGCAGCAAATTTTCTTATTGTATTTTGGAGAACCTAAATTGCCTTTTTCAGTACTTTGTAAGTTATGTATGGCAGTTAAATTCTAGTTAATAACCAGCAACTGTGAAGTCTAGATTTGCATGTACATGAAAAAAAAATCTGGTTTTGTTTTGATTTAAGATTGATGTATGTATATGACCTTGATGGGTTTTTGTTCTTATAGGAGTTGATATTTTCAGTGGAAGGTTTTAAACCTTTTGGTTGGTACCTCACTTTAGTGCAGTTTGGATTTTATTCCGTTTTTGGACTAATAGAATTGCAGTTGATTCAGGACAAAAGGAGAAGGTATGTGTTTCTTCAAAGCATTTTATCAACAGTCGGTCAAATTGGAAGCATTTGATATTAATGATAAATCTCACTTCTGTTGTTTGAATGTGAATACTCTTGACACACTGGTAGCAGTTCCATAGTTAAAATAATGGGAATTTACTGGGCATTGTTAGAAAATTTTTTATGAGCACCCACCTAGATTTTGGATCTGTAAACAGTCTTTCTGACTCTGCTGTCACTTTGTCCAACTTTCAGAGCATGTTCTATTCTTAAGGTACCTGATACAGACTGACTCTTGTATGTGTTTGTTGGGATTATCAGGTCTAGAATAGGGCCAACTGCACTTCACAGCGCTTGAAGCCACCTGTCACTGATTACCTTTTCCTCAAATGCTGACACCTCCACACCAAAACATTCCTCTAGTATGCTGTGAGTCTTGGAGAACGTCAGAGCTCTGCTCGCTCTTTGCCGTGTGCCTATGTAGCTGTGCTTCGGTTTTGCGTATTTTGTTTAGGGTAGCACTCATAATGCCCCGCTGCAAAACTAAAAAAGTTGACTAAAAAGGTTCTAAAAAAGTTGACTAAAAAAAAAGTTGAGTAAAAAGGTTCTTGCTGCCTTGAATCCTATGGATACAGGATAGTTTTACCTGACTCAGGGTGACCATTCTGTGGCTTCCTGCCCGACTGCAGCTTCTGCAAACTGTATATTGAGGCCATCTAGAAGCTCGGGTAGAGGCTGTCATGGTGTACATGAATTTTAAAATTGCTTTAAAGCATTATCCGAGTTGAGCATAACTAATTTTCCTTACTTATGCTCAGCCTTGGCTGATTTTGCATATACTGATTTTAGGTAGTAGAATTTTTCTACAGCTAAACAACAGAGCTTTGAATTATTCTTTTTATTTTAAACACTGACATTATATTTCAAGTTACTGGACTTTTTGCAATGCATCAATGTTGAATAGTTACTTTTTGGGCATTTAGTAACTAGTAATTAGGTTTTGATTACCAAATAATTGCTAATTGACCCTGTAAGTAAATCACATTGGAAATGTAGATCTTAAATGTATTTAACGTTTTATTTTCTATAACCTAGGCATCTTCTTTTAAGCACTAAAAAAATCTTCTTTCCTAATTTGCATGCAGAAATCGTTGTTAAATTTTAAATTTTTCTTGCATGCCTCAGGGTATGCCTACATTACATGTCTACATCCAGTTACGGATAAGACAGGGTTACAGCAAGAGAGCTGTTTATGTTTCTTAATGTGGCTCTGAGTATGCGTAAGGAATGGCTGAACATGTACACAACAATAGCTGTAGAAAATCTCCTCAGAAAATGAGCACAGCGATTGCTAAAAATTACTGTTGGATCATCTGTTGTCAAGTGATGGTTTCATCAAATTGCAAACGGTACATCTGATCATGTTCAACGAGCTCCTCCATGATGTCTGAATCACTTCTCTCTTAGTTCTGAGTTTTGTAAAACAATGGTACATTTTTCAGCTTCCTTCCAAAAATGTCAATTTTCTATGAAAACCTCACCAAAAAAAAAATGACACGGTGACCATGACCGGACTAAGATTTGGGATATCTTGGTGCACCAACCTTTTGTGTTTCCTATGACAAATAACCTGAAGCGGTTGTCTTGATTCTTATGTAACTAATACACCTTAGAAGGAAGTTAAAGAATTACTGCTTGAATACTTCATGAGCTGTGAATTTTTTATTGTCTTGTATTTGAATATTGTTTATTAGCAGTAGCTGAAAGAAATGAAATTTGAAGTCAGGCAGTTAACGAGTGTTTTTATCTTTCTATTGTGGAATGCAGTTCGGTGAGAAAGATGGTCAAGTTGTATTGCAAACATATTCCTGTATCTCAATTTCCCCAGCTAAATCTCTCCAGATGAGTCTGTAATACTAAGATTTGTACGTTTGTATTTTGTAGGATTCCTGGCAAAACCTACATGATAATAGCATTTTTAACAGTGGGAACTATGGGTTTGTCAAATACCTCTTTAGGATATCTGAATTACCCTACTCAAGTCATCTTCAAGTGCTGTAAGCTGATTCCAGTTATGATAGGTGGGGTTTTTATACAAGGTAAGTGTTAGTCTTGCTATTAGATTGGTTTTTGTTGTTTTTTTGAGAGGCAGTCATGTATGAGATCCTGTGCTTTGTTAAATTCCAAGTTCTTGGATAGGAGAGGCACAGGTAGCATTATCCTTGTAGGAGGAAAAACATGAATTCCTGAAGTATTTTATGAGAAAACCTACAAATACAGTTAGATGAATGGAAAATATGAGGGGAGAAAAGTTGTTCAAGTCGCCTGCAAAAACTTCACTTTTATGCACACTTTCTTAATTTTTAATGTAATTTTGTTTTCTAAACTTCATAAATGAAACATTTTCAATACTGAAATAGAAAACTTGGAAGGAAAAAATCAAGCCATGATTTGTGAAGAAATCCCTTACTTTTCTTGTTTGAAAACCTCGATTCCTAAATCATTAATTAAAATTCCTAAATCGTGATTAAATGCTTAATCAGAAATACACGTGACTTTACCCGTCTTTGGCTGCTCCTGAAGTCATAGGTCATATTCTGAGAACAGAGAAAGGGATCTGGAGAACAACAGATAAAGAGTTATGTATATAAACATACTTGAATATTCCTGAATTTAGAAGAATGAAGTACCTTATTAAAGGTTTTGTGTTCAATACACAAGGGTTTATCAAGTCAAAGCTCTGCACAGGCAAGTGTTACAGAGCAGGATCTAGAATGATGTATTTCTGTTTCAGTAGTGAGTTCTGACCTCTAGTTGCAACAGGAAGCTGAACTTTCAGAGGTACTTATAAGTTTACGTACACACACGTGCACACAATAGTTACCTTTTATTAGGGGTCATTTTGTACATTTTAATGCAAAGATGCTGGTGTATTCCCTTAAAGCTTTATGAAACTTCAAGTTGTGTTGTAGTAGCGTGGTATTTTCAAGCTGCGGCTCATGGACCACAAGAACAGGATGTTATCTGTTAAGATCCTACTCCAGGTTAGAAACTGCTGTTGTAGAAGAAACTAATTTCAATCATGAAAGGCCAAAGCATTAAATCCTCTGCATAAGTAGAAGAATGACATTGGAATGAATGATTTTTCCTTTGCCTTTTAGTCTGCTAAACAGGATAAACACGCACTTCTGGCCAGTGTTAACAGTCCGCTCCTGTTGTTTGTATTGCTTTTGTAGGAAAGCGTTACAATATTGCAGATGTGTCTGCTGCCCTCTCTATGAGTCTTGGATTAATTTGGTTTACTTTAGCTGACAGCACAGTTGCTCCAAACTTCAACTTGACAGGTAAAGATACATTCTCTTTTAGAGCTTAACAAAATGCTTGGTTTTTCCTACAGGGAGTGTTCCGCAGAGATTCGGAGAGCTCTTGGTGGAGTGCTCTGAGGTATCACACTAGCAGAACTGTATCTGAGACAGAAGAGGCCTTTCTTCTAAGAGTTGGTTTTTAGATTCTTAGAAGTTTGGGAAATTTCACTCTTTTGGTTGAAAGGTCAAGAACTACTTCCAAGCAAATGTGTTAGAATAAATATGATAACAAGCAGTTTGACCATTTTAAAGCTTTTAAAAAGCGATTAGTTGACTTTCCTAGTTAAACCTTTAAGTATTTTATCATTTCAGAACCATTTATATTAATTGATGAGGTTACTCAGATTTGCTGTAGTTCTTGGTTGGAGTGTAGACATTTTTACTTTTCTACACTGTGTAAAATCAGAAGCAAAGCAAAGATTTTAATCTGCTCAGGTTTAAAAGCTTTTTTATTAATACTGAACCATGGAACACTTTGAATATTCAACTTCTAGTGTATCCTTTTGAAATTCTGAGATGAGTTATGGCAGATATTCATTGTGAAACCACTACTTAAGAAGTTTTGTTGCTAAAAATAATAATAAATTCTCAGTCTTAAGGAAAATATTGTGTCCTCACAAAATATTATTTCATCTACCATTAGTAATGATCAATTTATGATGTTTTCTAAACTGTATATGTATTTTATCTTGCTCACAAATTAATTCTTGTGGCTTTTAATGTAACTTTAGTCCTAATGGTAGTGGAAGAAATTGCAAAAATCTGTGAATTCTGTGCTGTGCATTTAATGTGTTTGTGTGGTGTAACTAGATGGCTCCTCAAAAAAATATATTTTGAATATAGTATGATGTTGGTAAGCATGCAATTATATTCTAGTCTTTCTGTCATATAGATAAGTTACCATTACAGCTATTTTTGGTCATAGCCTCTAAGTGCATTCCCATTTTAATATATTACTTTTGCAATTTTTTTGTAAAATTGTTTTAAATATGTGCTATGACTTAATGCTGAAAAGGTTTGTCAAGTTGATTCTTCAACTGAAAGGGATATGATAAAGTGCAGCAAATGTAGCAAAGTTGTGACACCCCCAAAGATCTGCAAAACATAAGATACAAAACTTTAAACACCTTCAGAGAATGAGAAGGATTGTATTTCATTATTTTAAACACTTTGAACAAGTCTGTATATATTGAAGCTTAGAGCACTACCATTTGGAGGAAGCTAGTTCTGTGAAAGTAAGCTACAGAATTAGAGTTCAAAGATTTGGATCTCCCCTTAGCAAAGTGATTAGAAATTTTCCTGTTCATCTTCTGGGAAGGATTTTTCTGTATTGCTCTGTTCCTTCTTGCCTGTTTTGTTCTATTAACGTGTTGCTTGATTTAACCAGAAGAAGCTTTTCATTATGGGAAAGGTCTAGTTTACTTTGCTTGGATGAATTATGGAGATAGATGGTCCCTTCCTTCAAGAAATGACCTGAGTTATGGTCTTGCAAAAAATACATGGCTACTGAAGTGTAAAGCCAATGATAAGAGTTATTAAAAACGTTACTCACTCTCTGCAAAGTGGCCTATTCTTTTGAACAATTACTTTTCTTTATATAAATCACAGAATAAGAACTGAAAGTGGAAAAGCAGAATTTAATTCTCAATCTTC